TTGGGACACGGCCCAGGGGACACCAACGGTGGGACACCAGTAGGGTGGCAGCAAGCCCGTCCTCAGACCCTGCCGCCTGGCCTAGGTTTTACCTCAGATGCCTCTTGCACCCCAACTTTTCAGTGGGGCTCCAGGCAGCAAGAAGAGGTTATACCTCCCCTGGTTTCAGCCTTGTGGGAATGAGCTCTCTGCTCTAAGGTGGTCACGCAGCTCCCTCTATAGTCAGTGGAGAGAGATGGGGTCTCGTCCCACTGTCCCTGTCACCAGGGGCTCTGCTCCCCTCTCCAGGCAGCACAAGGAGCTTTAGTCCCCCCTTAAATGTCTGCAGCTGGATAGAAAGAAAACCTGCATCTGCTCCTGCAAAATCAAGGGCCGGAGGCTGAACCCATGGAGATGGGAGCAAACGTCAAAGCCTCGAGCCTTTGTGGATACAAGCCTGGACGGGCAGGTAGGCTGGGAGTGCTTTTTTTTTTTCTTTTTTCTTTTCTACAAGCCATTTAATAATCCTCCAACGCAGATGGAAAAATCTGCCAGGCTCGGCACGGGCGTGGGGCTGCGAGAGCGCGGGGGAGGCAGGCGATCCCATTTTTTTCACCGAAACACGGAGTCCTAATGGACGTGACCTCTCCAGGTGCCAAATCCTGCCCTTCCACGAGGGGTTTGCACTGGCAGCCTCAGCGCAAGCCCATTCATAACACGTATCATTTGTCAGCTTTTCATCAAAAAAGTGTGCAAATCCTTTCCCCGAAGCGCGGAGCTGTTCTGCAGCCAGGCTGCAAAATCCTGCGGAGTCTCCGTTTCAACAGGATTACCTCAGTGCCAATAATCTGGCAAATATCAGGAGTGAATTTAATCAAAAGAACTAACACCAGGGGCCTGACTTACAGACAGAGGGGAGCGGACGGAGGCTTGCAGGACCCAGATGTGGAATTTCACTTGCAACATCATTTTGGAGCAGAGGGAAAGCAGAAGGAACGGGAAGCAGCGGTTTGGGAGCTTTTCACGCTCTTGCAAAGCGAGGCAAGAGGAACAGTTCGCCCTTGTTCTGAGTTTTAAAAGACGTTTAAAAGATGTATCTGGGGGTTTGTTGCTCCTCGGGACAACCCTCACACCTAAGGAGTGTGCGCAGGACCAGGGTTTTGATGTACGTGCCAGAGCAAAGGGCATCCTCCTGGGGAGCCCATCCATGGACCAGCACTAGATTCGTCCAGCCCGAGAAGCCCCGTCCGGGCAGAGATCACTTGTGCGGTCTGACCTCAAAACGCCAGGGGAGCCCGAGCCCTCGCTTGAGTAACCAGTGTCCCTGGGTTTGCCCGACCACCCACCCGCAACAGTCGCGGTCCCCCCCGGGCTCCCAGCTCCAGCCTGGCAGGCTCTGGCGCTCCCCCAGCGCTGCCACTTCTCGCAGTCGCCCTGCTCCATCTGTCATCGATTCCTTTGCATGTGGTTTGCAGACTTCGTGCCATGCTCTGCCTGTTGCCTGGCTCTGCGACGGGGCATCTCTGACCGCTGACAACTTTTTTTGCTTTTATCGTTAGTTTTTTGTGGGTTTTTCTTTGCAAGAAAACAACTGGAAGCAAACACCCAGGCAAGGAACGTGGCACGGCTGAATCACTTTTAACCATCAGGGTAAGAGTCATCCTTAAAGCCTGACTGCTCACGCCTTCACTTGCGCTGTTAAGACAACTTCAGATAATTGATCAAAAAGATAATTTAAAAAATTATTGCAGTTTTGGCTATTAGAAAACTGGACAGCCCTCCACCTGGGCAGGAGGGCACTGCCCAGCTCCACTTTCTGTTCATCTTTTGCTGCCTGAGCCTCACCTTGCGCCCTGCAGGGCATGCAAAAGTTTGCGGTGTTTTGTTTTCTGTCGAGTTAAAAAGAAAAAAAAAGAAAAAAGTGGACGTTGTGCAAACATTTCTGGAATGTGACTTTTTTACATGAATACCAAACCCGACCATTTAAAATAAAGCAAGTCACTCCTTTACGACTTTCTGCCTCTGGATGCATTATGGATTGAGGTACGTAACCGAGTGCATAGGATGGAGCGAGAAATGGGAAACACAAGTGGAGAGCGAAGGCAATTTAGCTGGATGTGTCTGTTAGACTGAATTAATGAAGCTGAATTAATACAGAAATCTCTTTGGCAGCTTTTTTGCGTTTGCTGCAAGTTTCCCGGAGCTCACGCATGCTTCCCGGGGTGGTTAAGTGCTTCCTCGGCAGCTCTCCGCCGCTCACCGGGGCTCAATTATCTGCATTTGTTTAATTGAGTTACGAGTACGGAGCGAAGCGATGGTTGGAAGAATCAAATCTTACAGAGAAAACAATCTGCTGGGTGAGATGAGACAGTGGGCAGTCGTCAGGGAGGCAGCGGATGCCACAGGATGGTTAATTCCTTAATTCTGAACGCGTCGGGTTGAGATGAGGCTCTGGGAGAGCTTTGCCCATCAGCAGATGGAGAGATGATAAATTAATATTGTTATCAATGGAGAAACAGCGGGAGCCGTTAGGTGGTAGGGTTTGTTTTTTAAAAATGCCTGTTTGCAACTTTGGAACAGTCCCTGACTGAAGGAAGAAAAGTAGAGAGGATGTAAAATCCCCTGTGCCATAAACAGAGCTCAGGAAAATGAGTTTTCAAAGGAATGCCTTTGCTGTAGGAAACTTCATTTCGCCCGCTTTTGTATAGGACGGTGGATTACGCCAACAATAAACCATTCCAACTACTGTGAAATCGTGCTAATAGCCTGCGAGTCGGGGAGCTGTTCATGCACCAGCATATTTATTACATACCTTTGTATCTGTTAGCTCCAATGGCCACATTTTTGTTATAAACCGTGGGGGGCTGGAGAACTATTTAAATTTGGCCATCTCAGATTTCAAGAGCAGGAGCGGCTGGAGAAGGCAGGGGGATGAGAGAGGGACAATTGCAAAGAGCATTTAATAGAGCAAAGGACCCAGCGACTGGGGAATTCAGCGTGAAAACATCGCGGAGGCCAGCACGCATCTTCCAGGGTGTCCACTTGGGGAAACTGAGGCACAACATGGCTCTGAGGTTTCCCACCTACGGGCATCACCCAGCTGTGGTTTTTGGGTAAGACCACAGCGCTGTCAGCCACGGAGAGGGCAATGAGAGTGAGAGGCCAGGGGACAGCCCAGATACACCGGCAGGAGACGGGGAGCAGGCTGCCTGGCTGGGGAGGGGAGCTGGGAAAAGCAGAAGCAAGGCAAGTCCTGGGAAATGCGTCAGAGAGGGTTAAGCGTGGCCATCACTGCCAACACAGGGCAGGGGTTGCCCTTTCCCGGGACTGAAAAGCTGGGGATGGGCAGGGGATGGGATACACCCTTCCTGCCAGGTGAGCATCCCTCCTGCTCCCCATCCTTAGGGACCGGGATCCCTGCGGAGGCACAGTGACCCTGTACCTGGGAAAAAACCCTCCTGTTCCCCACATCTCACCACATCCCCTAAAACGCCCACGCTGGGCAATAAACCAGAGCCCTGGTAAGGATTGAACTGTGCCTGAGGAGGGATAGGAATGTCTTCTGCTCCCCCAGCAGCCCAACACCTTTTCTAGGGAGCAAGAAGATAAATGAGAATCAGGCTCTGGACACCAGCGAGCAAGCCGCTGCCCAGAGGTGACGGATGCCTGGCTGCATCGCTCGCAGAGAGCCCACGCCTTCACAATTTCTTTTTGTTTGCCTCAACCTAATGCACTGTTACTTCAGCTGTGATCCGGCCATGAAAGCAGAAATATGAACTTTATTACGACACGTATCCACTCAGGACCGGGGAGTGAGGCGCGGGCGCGCATGGGGGTCCGGCCAGGATGCCGGGTGTTGGGGCTGCCGTGGAAGTGGCTCAGTCCCCACCCCTGCATCCCTGTTTTCTGGGTCCTTGGATCCTGAAACAGCAGCTCCTCTCCCCGCCAGAGCCACGGGCTGGGTTTGCATCCCACCAGCCCACACCGCGGCTGAAGCTGCAGCTTGTTAAGCAGCCTCAGCACAGGATGGATCAAAAACCTCTCACTGAAATAGTTTTTACAAGGTGAATAAAGAGGGAGTGGGGCAAGCTAAAGAAGCGATTTCTTTTTCTGCTTTGTCAAGAAGTGTCTGTTTTAAAAAAGCAGGAAAACAAAACCAAACCCCAAAACACAAACCAACTCATGGAGAAGCATTTTCATTAAAAAACTGGAAATGCTGAACACCCAAAGCTTTCCTGCCAAAACTACCCAGCCCTGGCCAAAAAGCTTTCCATTTCTTGTTGAAATGAGTCTTTAGAGGAAAGAGCTGAAGCTTTCTGTGGGAAATCCCAGCACCTTCTAATCTGGCTTTTGAATGTGTTCTTGATCCCTTTAGCTGCGTCTCAGGTTCGGGATTTATATCTCTTCCAGCAGACAGTTGAGAGTTAAAAAAGTTCATTTTCAGGATATGTTCTTATGGCTGTGCTCGCCTCAGCCCCCCTCACCTTCATGTCCGTTGCAGCAGAAACCTCAAAAAAATCCATTTGCTGAGTTCAAAATCAAATTGTTTCCCATTTTACTCTTCTTGACTTGTCCTGAGGAGTGAAATGTTTTGCGGGTGGGTTAAGCGCTGCTGGGGACCGCGGTGGAGGGTGGGAGCAGGAGGAGGAGGCTGATTTATAGGTGCTACATCTAATCCTGTACCTCAGAACCTTTGCAACTCTGCTTTTACATGTGTGATGATCAAGGGAGCTGTGGCTCTCGGAGCAGGTGAAGCATGATTTGTAAGTGACAAAACCTGAAATAATTTAAAGACATCCTCAGCAGTGAGGACTTTTTGTATTTCTGTGGCTTCTTCCTCACTGGGAAGCTGTGGAGACCACGGAGACAGGTAATGGCAGAGAATGAGAAAAGTCATTTCAAGGTCTTGGATTGGGAGAGGGAGGAGTTCAAGGGGAGCTGTGGAAGCAGGAACGGCAGGAAGGGGTCAGAGCAGAAGGAGCCACGTGGCCCCGGCCATCCCACCCCCCCAAAAAAAGTACCTTTGCAGGCTTTGCGGTGGGAGATGGGCTTGCTGAGGTCCCGGTAGAAGCCCTCCTTGCAGTAGTGGCAGTGCCGCCCCGCGGTGTTGTGCCGGCAGTTGAGGCAGACTCCTCCGCTCTTGCGTCCCGACAGCTTGTAGAGCTCCATGTTGAAGCGACACCGTCGGGCGTGGAGGTTGCAGTTGCAGGCTGCGAGAAGCAAAGAGCAGAGACCATTAGCATCCGAGCCCTGACACCCCGGTGCCAACCCCGTGGGGCTGGGCACCCTCGAGGTCCTGCCCGGGGAGCCCCGCTGCAGCAGGAGTGTCATGGGATGGGATGCTCTGGTGACACCTCTGGCTATGGGGAACCAGCTGCTAACTCACATCCCTCCTTGACCTGTGCTAGGTGCTGAGTCCAGCTTTTGGAGGGGAAGCTGAGGTCACTGACACCTCGTATCACCATCATGACGTGCATAAAAAACGCCTTTTGCCTCACTCTTAACGTGAATTAAAAGCCGGCTGCAGGCGGGGAGCCCATCTGTGGTCAGAAAAGGGCAACGCACAACCCCCCGGCTGCTCCTCCAGCTTTGCTGCAAGTGCTGAGTTTCCCAGTATTCCCACTCTCACCAGTCTCAACACACACACGCGTTGGAGCTCCACATGTGATTTCAAGTCCTTCCTAGCCAGCTTCTTCCCCAGCTTTGCTTCCTGTGCTTGCACAAGGCTCGGTTACACATCTGCAGCCTGGAACACACCGATAAAACCTCGCCTCTGCCTCCGCGCCTCTCATCCCACTCCTGGGACCGGGCCAGCTCAACTCCCAGTGAGTCAAATACCAAAAATTCCCCCCCCTTCAGATTTGATTGCACGTGCTTGTGACTGAACCTGCCAGGAGATGTCCAAATTTCTCCACCATATGCAGCCTAATGTCAACACAGGGGCTATTTTACCAGGGGCCCTTTGCAAAGGACAACTGAAAGACTTCAAAAGCTCGACCCCTCGCCTGCCTCTCCCCAGAGCTGTCAGGGGAACATCAAGAGGCGGTTGCCGGGGCTCTGGGCTTTGCCGAGAATTTTATAGCTTGTTTTCTTTTCCCTTTGCTTTTATTTGCTCTTCACCCCTGAACAATGCATCTGTGCAATGCCAACCCACAGCTGGGCCTCTCGGCTCGGCACGAAGGTGTCACGGCTCTGGGCTTGTCACCTTCCTTTAGAGCGGAGACGTCTTAATCCCTCATTCCTTCCTGTTTACCTTATGGTGCTTGCCCAGGACAAAAGACGTGCTATATTTGCTTAATTATCAAATTTCAGCCCAGAAAATTACAGCGCAGTTCCGGATTATTTATTGGGAACAATCACCAGCTAACTCAAGATGCGAAAGCAAAGGGGAGAGCAAAATGCCCCGGACACGTCCGAGCAGCAGGATGGAGACTGTTCCCTCCGTGCTCTGCAACCTGAATTCCTCTGGTTGACGTGGTGAGGCCCAACCTCACGACCCCACCAAAGGCTGGCAGAGCAGGAGAAGCAGCCACCCACGGGCTAATGGTGAGAAGAGTGGCCCGGGAGCGATTTGCCGGCTGTGACGAAGCCAGATTCCCGACGCCGAGCGGGGCCACGGCTTTGAACTGCGCTTCGCCTCTCCTCAGACGAGCCCACCAGCCTGTGGGTGCATTTGTCATCTCCCAAAGCAGGAGATGACCATCAAGGAGACCAGAGGCACAGCTCCTGCATGCAGAGGGAATTGCTGCTTCTAAGATCCAGCCGGTCCCACGGACACATCTGCTGACGCCTGCAAGCGCACTGGAACAGCCCATTTGCATCTAAAAGAAGCGCAGGAGTGTTCACTGGGTGCTTCCCCCCTCCTCCCCCGTAGGTTTTTCCGCTTCTAGAGGCGATGCTCACCCTGTAGAACGCGTGAGATTTTGGGGAACGGGTGGGATTTTTCAAGTCCCAATCCTCTTTTTACATAGAAGTAACGAAGAGGCTGAGATTAAACCCTTTCCATGGGCGTGTAGGAAGCACAGGGCTGAGGGGCAGAGCTGTCCTTCAGGCGTGGACCAGCTGAGAGAGAGGCACACCAGGGCTGCCACATGAAGGATGCCCTCTTGGCGATAGCTAACCACCAAGGCTACACCTGTAGCGAAGGCACGGCCTCTGGACTCAGCTCAAGTAGTGGAAAAAAGATATTTAAGACCCTCAGACTGAGGGTCTGTCACTGCTGCTGTAGCCTGTGACCATGCAGGCACATCCCATCATCCAAAGCACTGAGGCAGTTCTGCCCTTGGTGCGACAAACCACAGGATTTAGTCCCTGCTGACCAACATAAGGAGGCATTTCTCCAGGGGGTGGCACGGCCTCACAGAAGACGGAGTTCTTCCTCGAAGCTGGCAGAAACGCGTGTTTTCCAAAGAGCATGAAAGCTCACCTCCTCCTAAAACTTGTATTTTAGGAGGGCTGAACTTGGTACTTGAGTATTTTGCAAGATTGCATTGGCAAATCCCTTTTACAAATTCAAAGCTGAGCCCACCCGAAGAGTGAGTGAAAATCTTTGCATTTCTTTGTGTTGCTTGATAAGCAGAAATGTTTTTGCAAAGCCAGGAAAGCAAAACTCCTGGGATTTTCTCAAGATCTTTGCAAATATTTCTGCTGCTCTCACCAGGGCAGAGCTGTGTGGGAATGTAGAGGAATAAGAGGAGTGTGCGGAGCTGCTCAGAGGCTTGCTCCTGGGATCAGTTTTACATTGGTCTTCCAGGGATGGCAAAATCCAGCGTTTGAAGAAGCAAAGAAGCTGAACCTCCCAAGAAGCTGCAAGGAGCTCCTGAAAACCGCTGTCCTCATCCACAGCAAATGACTTAAAGACTGTGTGTGCCTCGGGGTATAAACCCTTTCAGGAGGGAGTGAACGGGCTGGGAGAAGATGTGGGCTGGTCAATCCTCTCTCCAAGCCCAGAGCTCCTGCACTTGCCCTGCCTGTGGACAACCCGCAAGCACCACAAGCAAACGGGGAGTGACGGCCACCCCCCCACAGTGACCTCTCAGCATTTTTGGCTACGTCAGCTTAGCCTTGGCTCTGTCCCCTCTTCCACCTGCACTCCCAGGGCACTGAGGACATCTGCTGAGCACTGACTGCCTCCTAACCTCATGCACACGGGTGCTTTTCCACCATGCGCCCCCTCCCAATCCACCTGTTTGTGCAGATAGAAGGGGCCAAATTGAGCCAAGGAGAGCAGTTTTAATTAAAGTTACTGTCTCCTGTGCTCACCCTGAGTGTCTGGGTCCTGAGTGGCCAATGCTATGCGCAGTTGGCCACCAGCCAGGGCTAGCTAGCAGCTCCATCTGTACCCTGATGTGTTTGCAGATGCCCAGTGGAAGAGGCTTGGTCTGACTGGAGGAAAAAATAGCCATCCTAATTCTTCCTGACCATTGAGCATAGGGACGGAAGAATCAAGGCAATGCAATAAATGACCCGTCTAGGTGTCAGAAAGCCCTTGCTAGGGGCAAGGCTGGGACACGTCCTGATGGGATCCACCACGTTGGTGCTACAGCCTCAGAGAAAACCAGCGGTGGGGGCCTGGAGATGCTGAGTGTGGGCAATGCCTGGGCACACTGTTCTGGCTGGAAGTCATCCACCAGGACCAACAGGGACCCAGCAGCAGGTCCTAGTGCTTTTGCATCCTGGCTCCAAGTCTGTGTGTAGTCCCCGGGTGCCGGGGACAGGGTGTGCGGCTCACCCAGCCACATTTTCCTTTGCTGAGGAAACGCGGCTCCCCCCACCCTTTCCCTCGGCCCGACGGTTAATCCCCTGCTGCGCTAAAGCATTTTGCCTCGTTCCTAACATGAACTGGCCTGGCTTTAATTTCCAGCCAGTGCTTCTTAGTTTGAATTTCCCTGCCACAGTAAGCGGCTCTTTAGCAACCCATCTTTTCTTTCTATGAACTCCCCAGCCTGCTGTAATAAAAATCACCTCCCAATGTTGGCATCACCTACGCTCCCCATGCTTTGCTTTTCACGTGGTGGAGAAGACACCCCTGCACAGGCTGCAGACCCAGCTATGGGCAAAACGTGAGCCAGGTGCTGAGACCGCTCCGATGAAAGGTTTTGGCTTCAGCTGCTCGACTAAGCTCAGTGCTGCTGTCTCCTGCTCTCTTCCTTCTTTTGTTTTGCCAAAGACCTCACAAGCCTTTTGTTCGATGGTTTTATTGCACACAGATGTGCAGGGCTTCATCAAAAGGTCTCTACCTGGGCCGCCAGACTGATATGAATAACCAGATAGCACTTAAATGCAGATGTTCGGAAACCTGGAGAAAGGTCAGAGCAGAAAAGAGGAAAGCTGTGGTTTGGAGCTGGGGGAAGAAATTACAGTGGAAGCATCCCCACATTAAAAAAAAGTGCCTTGGTCAAATGAATCCATCAAAGAAGGTCAAGGTGGGCAGGTTTTTCCATTTGGGAGAGGGAAAGGAGATACGTGAATGGGAGGTGCAGGCTGGAGCTGTGTGGTGGGAGCTGTGGTTGTGGTCTTTTGTGGTGCTGCTGTGTCCCCTGGGTCCCACTTCCCAGCGCCCTGCGTCTCCCAGGACGCATTCCTCTCCACGGTTTTCATTCAGCAATGACAATGCTGCCTTTTCAAAAGACCCCACCCTTCCAAAACTTATATTTTGGCAATTTCCAAAATGCAAATTGCTTTTTAAACAAACGAAAACCCCAGAACATTTTGTTTTAATTTTTGCAAACAATAATTCGAGGGAGGGGGGGGAAGGGAATGGGGAGGATGGGAGAAGCCAGAGGCTGAAAGCAATCTCTAAATTTGACTTGAATTTATGAATAGTCTTAGTCTCCTTAAAATTGTCCTTTTCCCAGATAAGGGTTTTTTTGCCAGAAAATTACTAGCTCAGCCTGAGCTGTTATTTCTCTTCCGCAGGAGCAAGTCTCACGTGCATCGTCCTGGCCGCTGAGAGGGACACCCTGCCTGTGCCCGTCTGGGAAGGGGCTTTGCTCCCAGGGGACAACGGAGATGGAGCAGCCAGAGCCAGTAGGGACCTGTCTGCTTGCTGGACTGAGAGGTGAAGAGAAAGCTCCTACGGAGACAGCGGGAGGGTCCCCTACAGCATCGTGTGCCTTCAAGCCCGCTGCTGCCTTGTTTGAAGTTTTGGAGCAGCCGGGAGTGAACCTGGAGCCACTGGATGAGCTTCCACACTGCTGGATGCCACTAGACACCCTGGTCCAGTGTGAGCGGCCCCCGGGGCTGTGCCCAGTGGGTGATCCTGGGCAGTGTGACCCTGGCAGGGATGTCTCCTGGGGGACACAGATGCTACTCAAGCTGAGGAGGGGATTTCTGTCCGTGCTTGCTGCAGCAAAACAGTGAAGCATGGGTGAACACCGGTGGGGAAGTCTTGCATGGTGCGGCCACCATGGATGACTCCGGGAGTTTGGAACCATCAGGACTGAGCGGCCGGATCCAGCTCTGC